CTGCACACCCTCAGCATAGCACACTTCGGTTTGCTCTGACAAAGCTTTCGTGATACCGTCGAAAGGCGTGACGACAAAGGATGGGTTCAGAGAGGCTGATCCACCTCCAGAAATGATGTCGGCTTTGGCGTTCCCTCCAATGATAGCAACGCTCTTGAGAGAATCGCGGGACAATGGGAGGACCTTTCCCTCGTTCTTGAGGAGAACAACACTTTGGGCAGCCAAAGAACGCATCAAAACTTTATCCTCTTCCTTGTCATCCGTGCGTTCTTCGCCATCCCCGTCCAAGATCTTTCCAATGCTTTAGTTCGATCATCATAAGAAGTGGCTCGGACACTCACCTCTGGGGCTCCCTTGGCTGACTTTTGGACCAACTCGAGTACCTTTCTCGCACGAGCTTTGATAGTTTCGAGGGTAATCTTGCGAGAGTGTACCGACCATGACATGTGGTATGGACTACGCCACTTGTTCACACCGGGCATCTCCAAATCGAGTCCGGCGTTGACCGAATCTGCAACGGAATACACGCCGAACCAATCACTCATGACAGTCGCTTGGGACTTCCACTCCTTTCGCAAGACTTGGTCCAAGATGAAAGGGTTCTCTGAGACGTGCAGTCCGTTTATTTTGTTGTACCTAGTCGACGATCATCGTTAGCTTGTCAGTGGGGGCAAGCGAAGGAACACATACGCGGTCATATAAGCCCAAGGCTGAGCGCTCTTTTCGGCCAACATGAATGGCATGAGGTAGATCTCTCGGAGGGCGCGGGGGCTGACTTCGGAACTGACACCTTGTCTGTCATCCTCTTGATCATTTCCACTAGAAGAATGTGAGCACATTGTGTTTATAGTTTGAATATTAGGTTGACTTACACAAAATGTTTGATACAAGCTCCGACTCCCTCGCTCTGAAGCCCTCCAACGTATGCCGCAGCGATCGTACCAGACAAGTAAGGGTCTTCCGAGAAGGATTCAAAACTCTGAATGATATGAGACTATATTCTTTAAAGGATATTGCATGACTTACTCTGCCGCCCAAGGGAGACTGGTGTTCATGTCAGTGTCAGCTACTATATCTCGTGGAAAAAACAGTTAGTCTTACTCTTTGGATGTTTACAGTGGGGCCTAGAACGATGGAAGCAGCGCGAAGTTTAGCTTCGTTCGCTAGAAGCTTGGAAGCCACACTCCTAATGAGGTCTGGGTCGAATGTAGAACCAAGAGCAGTTGCAGACTGTACATTATTCATGAATAGATGGGGAATTTTGTGAGTATATGACATACAGGAATGGCCTTTGCAGGAGTCCCGTCAAAGAATTTGTTACCACGAACACCATTCGGGCCGTCAGACACCTAGAGGGGTTTATCAGCAAGAGCTGTCATCCCAAAAAAGGGTGGAAATACTTTGATAGCAGGAACGTGCAATCTAGGAACTGACGCCGTGTGCCAAAAGCCTACGCCACTAAGTAAAGAGATTGCCTCGTCTTGGGTAAGGCCTCTGACGACGTCGTCAATGTTGGCATTAGCGAAATCAGAAGGAGATGGCATTGGTGAGCTCGATGTGGGGGATTTGTGGAATAGTGGGCACGAA